AATAAGTAGTTTAAATGTAATCTGAGATGAAAAGTGAAGCGTTGTTTGTATCCTAGACAATGGAAGTAGTCATAGATACTGCTTAATATAATACTGCTATAAAGCATGTTTCAGGGTCGAAAATGGGATTACGCGAAGATAATAACTCGTGCAGTTTGCAACAGTTACTGTTTATTCCAATTGAAATTAATGGTTCATCGGATGATGGAAGTGCAACTGGATCATCTGGTTGTTTGTATCCAAAAACTGGAAGAAGTAGTCATAGCTATAGCCGAATTTAATGGGATCTTGATGTTTATTGATTGATTGATGGAGATTATCTCTTCCAAAAATAAATGATGTGTCTTTAAATGAAGAACCGCAACAGTTGTTGAAGGCGAGATTACATGAACTGTTTAATGCAAATATATGTACGGCTGTTACATAAATGCACTTTGCGCAATTTATCAGATGCGGAAATTGCAGTTAAACTTATCGGGTATAGCATAATGAATGCATTCAACATTTAACTGTAATTGTTGCACCTCAGATGTACACTGAGCATTGTTTTGAAGGGTTGCGAAGGTTTCCGAAACGCGGATCGATATAATAAAGCATCATCGCATACGAACCTCCTGACTAATTATTTGAGAAATCCCAACAACATATGATCGAAAACATTGAACGAATCTCCTCTTCCTCAATCACTGAACAAACACGAACTGAACGGCACTCTCTGAAGGGTGGTTTTTGCAAATCAATGTTTACTTGCACCGTCCGAAATAAATAATAATGATAATACTAATACACTTTTAATAAAATCATAAAGTAGGTGTCTGCAGTAGCGGCAGGAAAGGTCAATTCGAAACGCGTGAGTGTGTCTGAAGACTTCGACTCTTTTGGTCTTTGCTGCTCCACACGGAGCAAGCGTCGCCGCTCAACTAAAGACTTCCAATTATCCAGGACCGACATGTTTATTCTGATGGTACAAGGAAAACCGTCCAGATGGTACCACCAGCTATCCGAGTATCGATTACGTAAGGAAGGCGGGAGGTTCTCGTCCTAGCTACAGTCGGTTCGCTTCTTCGCTTACGCCGCTCTCCTATTGGTGATCGCAACTGCGAGAATCTTAAATATTATCGAAAGTGAAGATCGCTCCTTAAGTCAAAAGTTATCGGTGATTCCCACGGTTCATACTATTCACAAACTGACAAGGTAATACATATTTTTTAATTCAACATTACTTAAAAATTACTTAACTCATTCACTAAAACACAATCACTTACATTAACTATATTTTATATAAACCATTTCGTTTTATTTGGTAAATCTACAACAGATTAATTGAAAATAATATTTTAACGTCCGGTGTGAATATACAAAATTTGCCTTATGTTTCATCAATAATTAATAAAAGCAAGATAAGCTTATGTAAACACGTGTTATCAAGACTCTTGTTACTGTAACACAAGCATATTTGTTACGTTTAATTATTTTGGTAATTCTATAGCTAGTTGAAGAATTTAATATTTAGGGGAATTCCCTGATTCGTTCAGCTTTGACCATGTTATTCACACGACTATTTTTAAAGGGTTTCCTTTGAACGAATGTTGTTTTCGCTGGCACTATGCCTCAGATCGTAGTTATAAGTAGTCTTCGCGATTGGCGCAAATAATTTGAACTTAAATTTTCAAAGTATTTTTCGGAATTTATTGGATTTGTTATAAATTATTAGTAAAGGTAAGATCATAATTTTAATTATAGTCCATATTATCTAGTAATGAAGACCTTGAACTTAATTGTCTAGTTTTCAAAGGTCATCTGACAACTGTGTTCAGATGTACTTTACTACGTTTACAAATACAGAAATATCGATTTTTATTTTGGAAACCCTTTTGCGATTATGGAAAAATTTAATTGTACACGGAAAGTGATTAAGCAGTCTAGTCTACCAGACAAAGATAGATGAAAAGTTAGCTAATCTGGTTTTAAGTATCGACGAATCTATTTTTGAATCTTTTTATTTTTTTTTTGTTACATTTTTAGTTTTGAAGTGTTGTTTAAGTAGTTATATGTATATCGAATTTCTGGAATATGCAAAATCATCGTCGTTGTATTCCGTTTGAACGCAGGTTTCAGTAGAAACCGAACCATAGCAACCTGTTTTACGCCTGGTAACGACGACGGTTGGATAGAAGTTGTACTCGATCCGGTGCTCCGTGTTCAGGACCAGAATTACCCAAGTTTTCCAGTGAGTAATTAACGTATATTTTCCGCTTCCTTTCATAAACATCTTCCAGAAGTTTCTAATTTCATTAAGAAACCGTTTCGGCGTAAACGCGTTGAGAAATAAGGCGAGAAAATTGCAACCCTTATGGCATCTTTCCGTTACATAAGTTTGGTTAAAGCAAAAAACTATTAAATTACTTTCACTTTTTTGTTATGTTCTTGTAATTGTAGTATATTTGATTTATTTCTAAAGATGAGCATTTAATAATAATTTATTTCGGAAGCAAGCAGAAATTGTGTATACTTGGAAAATTGATTGAATTTCAACAAAATCTTAACATCTAAACATCTTAAACTACAAAGTAAATTAACTAACAAACTTTTTATTTACAAATTAATAAAAAATGACACATTTATGATATGACAATTAATAATAGTTAACTATTAATTTATTGTTAAATGAGAAGAGTACAATTTTTTTACAATAATTTAAATATATTTACTAATTTATTAATAATTTTTCAATAAAAAAAATGTACTGAAAACTTATTGTAAATATAGGCAACCAAACTAACGTAGTTGTTATAATAAGTATAATATTATCTTTTCTATATATGTTATCTAATATACATACTGATAAAAATATTAATAGTATTCATTACTTTATTATATAATGAACGTTGCTTTAAACATTGAAATTATAATAATATACTCATAAATAAATAAATGAATAAATTTTTCATAAATCTAAATAGATATTTAAAGGAATAAAGTCTTTTGAACCACATGAACAAATGAACTTTTTATTTTAAAAATTTATAAAATTTTAATTCATATGTCATTTTAATTAGTTTATTCATATAAATTAGTTATTAATAACTATGATTTTAATGTGAATTGTTTGTACGCGTTTAAAATATGACATGAAACAGTAAATATATAGCAGAGGTACCAACTTATTACCGTAACCAGGGCTACCACAGGCTAAATTGGTTATAGCCCCGGGGCTATCATAGCTTTGTTGCTAACTAAAGCTTGTTGGTTTACTTGTTTTATATCTCAGTTTGTACGCAACTTTATACTGTTAATTTTTGATTATACAAAGGTAAATGAATGATAGTTTATTTCATTAAGATATAATGTTTATTTTATCATTTTTAAGTATACATAAAAAGAATAATATATAGTAATTTGTTTAAATATAGAGTGAATCCTAGAGAATATCCTTTGCGATTGGTTTGGTAACTTGTAAATCCAATAGAAACAAAATGTGATGTGAACACATAAAATTTGTTTCAAGGGCGTCCAGATTATAACATGAATCGATGAAACTGACCGTTAAATTTTGTTTAGGTCAAGTGTATCTGGGTGGTCTATTGCAATCCGATTCGCCAATCAAAGTTATTGATAACGATAGCTACGTGCCACCTGAACCTGTCATCATCAAAGGAAACGTTTGCATGGAGGACCGCAGATGCTGCAGCTTTCCCTCAACGGAAAACGTCTGTACGTGAGCAACAGCTTGTTTCCACCTTGGGATAAACAATTTTACCCGGACTGCCGTGCAGCGAAGGAGGCTGGATCGTAAAGGTCGACATCGATCACGAAAACGGAGGAATGACGCTTGACAGGAATTTCATTGTGGACTTTGGAAAGACCAAGCATGGACCAATCCTTGCCCACGAAATGAGATACCCAGGAGGTGATTGCACTTCTGACATCTGGCTAGCCAAATAATTACCACTAAATTGTTTTCCT